CACTCCTCGTCTAACTGCTCTCAGCAGGCCGGTGGAGGGAGAGCACACTCATCCTGGATGGGAACACTTTATGATAATCACCATCATTTTCCCACTGAACTTAATACACGGGGTCTCTGCCAGATCTGGATTGCTCAGCCAACGGAGCACATGGAGCACATTTAGTTTAGAGAGCGGTCGCTGCATGGGGAAGCTGCTGCAGACCGCCAGAGGCTTCCTGCTCTCCGCCTCCTTATCTTCCTCCTCTGCCTCTAAATATCTGCCTTTCTCTTTTTCCCACTTATCACCACTGAGGCACCTGCTGAGTTTCAGTCATTTGGGTAGATCAGTAGAGTTTGCAAATGGAGAAAGAATACAATGCTGCTTTCCCGGTAACAGATATATTAACTTTTTGGACAAAAAAAGGAATTGTGCATCTAGAGAACAACTCTTCTGTTTGAAGTAACCAGACTTGGCCTTCTGTAAACGGCAATGCTTTATGGGGATTTCTCTCATCTCTGTAAGTGGAGGCAAATTAAAATGAGATGTATTTATTCCTGGGAACAAATGAACCACTGTCTGCATCCTTTGGAACCAGGCATCGTCTAATTTGCCAAATGAAGACAGAAGTTGATTGAACTTTTTTGATTGAAAGTTGATTGGTCAATTTGGACCAATCCGCGGACGTAACGTAACGGCTCCACGGAAAGGTCCATTTCGAGCAATCCACGGAGGGGTCGTCGTTACGTCACTTGGTTCCCGGAAGAAAAAAGAGAAAAAAAGAAATCCCCAACGAGGCGTTCTGGGGCAGCATAGACATTTCTGTGTTACGGCCCGTCCACAGCTTCGACAGCTTCAAAAACGGTTTCCAACGCGTGACGTCACGTTGCCTCGCTTTTCGCCGAACTGAATTGTGGGTAGCAGAGCGGAGCTTTCCTGGCGTTTCAGGCTGCAAAAGTTGAGCAATGTTCAACTTTTGAAGCTTCTGAAGCTTTCGGTGGAAGCGTCAGCCAATCAAATCCTATGCCAGTACAAGCTCTAGCCAATCAAACCGCTGCTTGTGTGTCAGGGGCGGGAGATTCATGTGATTGGTTGTTGGTCGAGCTTCAGACACGCCCGCCGGCAAGCTTTTCTTGAAGCTGTAGTGTGGACGGGCCGTTAGAGTTTTACTCCCTACAGGATGTACTTTGAGGGTCTGCAGACCATTTACATGCAGAAAAAGCTTCATAACACACAAGGGGACGGGTGATAACCGGAAAAGCATGACATGGGACCTTTAAGTCATTTAGCATGAACAAACACATTACAAAAATGTAATGGATTAAATAAGTGAACTTAAACTTCTAAAAGACCCTGACTGCAAAGGACTGTTGAGTATATTCAGCACTTACGAGGGTTTGGCTTATTTGAAGCTAAGGAGCTGCGTTTTTCATGTTGTTCTTAATTTGTTTCTTAACAGTTTATTGCACTTATTCTAAATTGCTTTGGATTAAAGTGTCAGCTAAATGTAATGTTAACAATCCTAAACTGACTGAGAGAAAATGGACCAGTAAGACGCCTAATTCACTAAGAAGGAACACCGTAAAAAGTAACATATTTTTTGCAGAAATTAAGAATAATTCTTCCAGCGCTCAATGCAAGAAATGCTTTTGGCTCAGGATTAAATAAAGCATAAATGAAATCCTGAGATTTAATGCACGGCACAGTCTCTACCTGTCTCCCTTCTGTCCTGCATAAGATCCAATATCTTCATTGTTTCTTGCAAAGGTATGTATGGCCCTGAGAATCTGGGTACAGTGCAGCTGGAACAGTATTCAGCTGCTTCAAACCCCCCCCTCTTAACTGAGAACAAATAACCTCCACTGACCTGCTCAGACGCCCTGACCCAAATCAATCATCTCACATACATTTGCAGGAAACTTCCGTGAATTTATGGGAACTCATGCTGGGACAAGTGGATTGTCAGGTAGTACATTTCCTTCCAGTTGCCTTCCCTCAAAGATTCTCCTCTTTGTCTTTCTATTGTAATTGGTTGTCTAATCTTCCCCGGTGCATCCATGCATGAAACCTGCCTGCAAAGATCAAGAATGATATTTGCAAATGTACAACTTTATTTAACAAGATCTCCACAAATGTTGTAGATCTCCTAGGTTTGCATTGATCAGAGTGAGGGTAATGCAGAGGCTTTCAATGTGCCTGCTATTAATTACTAACAAAATGAACTCATCCAACTTTGATAAACCTCAGCGTTTAACTCTAAGAAGTCAGTGAGTTGGGTAATCTGTGGGACGTTGCTCTATTGGTCCATGTTAAGGCGGAACAATCCAATTGAATTCTGAATCATAAGGAAGCTGTTATCATGTATATGTTTATAATCACTTCTAAAAGCATTTTGGAATCTTGAAATGTTCCCAGGAGTTGTCACTGCCGTCTAGTCTTTGTAAATGTAATGTTTTTCTTTTTTCTGCAGGGTCAGTAACCGACAGACCACCGGGGCCGCCTCACTCTGGTAGAAAAGGTGAGCAGAGATCTGCTGTAGGTTGTCTGTGTGCATGCAAGGGACTGTTTCTATTTGTATGCAAGAGACAGAAAGAGAGCATGAGTTCAAAATGTTTTTGAGGTGATCTTGTTCCTGTGCAAAGTCCATTTTGGTGCAGAGTGTAAAAGTACAGAACTGCACTATGACTTGTAACGTTAAGAGGATTAGGATGAAATCTTTATAGCACTTCTTTGCATGTTTGCATGATGCTCGGCTCTTTAAACGAGTTCACCAATACTACAGTTCAACTGAAGCTGAGCTCTAACGTATTCCTTCAGTAGTGGCATCAGTGGCAGTAATGGATGCTACGAAAACTTCCCTGGTTTTACCCCTTTAGGCATTTCTTCATATTGTTTCTGTTGAAACTGTAAGATATCCACGCTGTCTCATCCCCAGTGTACTATATACCAATGTTTAGTCACTGCCCCTCGCATTGTTATACCAACAATTACAGCTTCTTTAAGTGTCTGTAGGAGCTGCACCATTAACCACAATGTAAACCCTAACCCTAACAAAACAGAACATCGAGTTATGGAAGTTGTATTAAAGTTATGGAACTTAATTTGACCCAAGCCACACTTTTTTTTCTTAAATCTGACCAAGCGTTTCCGTTTGAATTCAAACAAACTAACAACATTTTACTGCAACCTTAGTGGAGCGTCACGATTTGATATGTAAGGCGATGTAATGAAAGTGCATCCAACGGTTCCTTAACAAGCGTCAATATTCGACGAGCTGGGATTGAGAATGGTTTAAAAATGATGAAGAATGACTGTATTGTAATTCTACAGTTTTCCTACTAGTTTCAAAAAAGTTATACAATCAATATTAAGATAACTGAAGTGAGATCAATGCAAAGATTTCTCACATGGGGTCTGCCACAGAAATACAAATAAAGTTCAAGGTGTTAAAAACATCTTGAACTTTATTTGTATTTCTGAGAAACTGAGAAAAGATGGGCAGTCTCTAAGTGAATCTCTTTTATATAGTTTTTGTTTCCCCACTGAGAGTTACTTTATACGTGATAGTCGAGTTAGGAGTTTACAGTCCGTGTCCAATAATTGTTTTTTCCCATCACAGTCCGGTTTTCTGAGAGAAACATGTTAACTGTTGTATTTTATTCACAGTTTGACCCGATCAGGTCAGTTTGACCTCATATTTGTGTTTGCTGACGAGCCATCTGATTTACTTTAGTGTTTGTGGAATGAATCCAGTTCTCTGTGGTTTGCTTTTAATCAAATTATTTCCTAAGGAGTGATCCAGACGCTACAAAACTGCACATGGGTGAGTATTCTAGGTTGTTAAATTCACAGCATTATGAACAGTAAGAACAATTACAACTTATCTAATATCTATAACAGAACATTGACTCTTTAGGCCTGAGTATTTTCATTAGCATGTGTCACTCTGCAAGATGTGATGTTGGGGTCATTTTTATAAGCAGCAAAGAAGATTTAATACTTATTTAGAGCTACTGAAAGAATACATGTAAGACCAATTCTTAGCACACATGTTCAGCTTTTTCCGCATGTGCATGACTTTAATGTAAAAGGAATTTAGTAACTTCGTTTTTTATAAATACAAACAATGTTTTGGGGCAAATCTTGTCAAAATAGTTGTTTTTCAGAATCCTTAACGATGTGATCCAAGATGCGAGTCCGTGGTGATTTTTGATTTTGACTATTGAGCCAGATAAATGATTAGGCCATCAACAAAGTGAAAAGATATTTCCTCAGGAGACAATCAGTGTCATTACCAAATACTTATGCAGTCTGTCTACTTTTTGAGCGTTCGTAAACTGGACCAGAGGTTTTAGATACAAATGAACCAACAAACTTAATACGTCTTATTTTGGAAATACAGTTTCAGTCAGTCAGCTCAGTAGGGATAATTTGCACTGCAATCACGCGAGTCCTGATAGGGATGGTGGTCCCCTCGTGTGATGGTATATGTGAATGTGTGTGTGGTTTACATGATGATGGTGAGGGAGTGTGTGCAGTGCGTTGGTGTGAGAGTGTGAGGAGTTTGATTCATTGATGTGTGTGAGATGTTGTGTTTTTTTTATTTTTATTCCATCTATCTCTCCCTCTGATTTTCTATCTGTCTTGGCCGGGCCATGTGCAAATCCAAACCATTCAACAGTTCTGGAGAGTAGATTGTATTAACCTCAATAATGGTAGTCTCTTTCCGTTTCTTTCTCACTCTCAACCCAGATGATGGCTCCAAGCCCACGCCCACCATGGAGACCCACGTCCCCCCCGAGGGTGACGGTAAGTCTCCTACATCTGTAACACCTGCTGAGATCGTCACTTTTACTTGTGACGCACCAATATTATCGCATATATGCAGGGATTTTAATATGGGAAAACAGGCCAAAATAATTTTCTAATAGTTCTCTTTTTCTGGTTTGTGACTTTTGAAATCACAAACTGTGGTAACTTCTTTTTTATATGTTTTATTCACAACATTTTCTCTCAAACCATAATTGGTGATAGTTGGAATAGTTGAAAGTCTAACACAGATGTTTGAACAAATTGAGTTTTACAACGAACAGTGAGGTACAATAACAGTTTCTGTTTCAATGGGGTCTGGTGGCTTTGAGTATTGCATATTCATTGTATGAATTGTACTTAAATAAACTATAATAATTGTCCAAATTCCTGTTGATTTTATTCAAATAAAGGCAATTAGCATGTCCACGTGGATGTCAGGTTTCCAACACTGCCGATTGGGGCTAGTTAGCGTTAGCAAACGAATACTTTATATACAGAGTCATTTGTCCCAGGAATAAATGCTAATTGGAACCTTTCCCAGAAGTGAAAATTCAGAATTTGAGTTCATGTTTTTTCTTCATTGGCTAAGAAACTTTAGTACACATTACAGTGCCGTTAAGATATCTATTTTATGGTGATACTTGAGTTTAATGTTAGTCAAACCTAAGATGCCATTTCTTAAGTAGGCACTGTTATACTGAATGGAAAAATCCAGCTGTCAGAAATATCACATAGTTGATATTTTTGGAAACACTGGAATCTTGGATGCAGTTTTAATGTGTGGGCAAACCTGGCTGTGCAGATGTTTTGAATATGCAGCTACTGAAGGATCAGGTTCACTGAGGAGGTTAAACAAAGCCTAGCTGTGGGTAATTGTGTGGAAATCATCTCACAGCATGGAGTTTATTGACTGTACTCTGTTTCTTTTGGTCATTGCAGAGATAACTGCTCCAACGCTGTGGATAAAACAGCTGGGTTATAAGGAGAATAAACAGAACAGCTCCAGCTCCAAGAGACAAGGTGAGACAAAAGACCTCCTGAGAACTCGTATATTCTGTCATATTCATCCTAAATGAACGTTGTTACTTCTACTACTTCATTGTTACTAGGTCACTATGTCCAATCACTATCAACACAGACCCTATAGATTGCCAATTTAAAGCCATATCAATTATGGATTCATTATTAAAGTAATTTTTTTTGCGAATATGGAAGAAAATGCTGCTTTAAGCCTCTGGAATATTTAAATGTCTTGCTTTTCTCTGCTTTGTAATATAATAAACTGAATATCTTTGACAAAACAAGACATTTAAAGACATGTTCTTGGACGTTGAGGAACTAAGATGGACATTTTTCACTATTTTCGCACATTTAATAAATCAATCTACAAAACTATGCACAGAAAAATCGATAAAAAATCAAATTATTGGCTAAATTAGCGAGAGGGAAGCCAGTGAGGGATCATATCCTTGACAATATCACTGTTAAACCCATCTCTCCTTAAAGATCACCAGTGCACTGTTTTCAGGACACAATTGTTACAAATATAGATATTAAGATAAATATTATACCAGCGAAGTAGCACATAGCAAAGGATAAATAGGAACACTCGGAAAGTATCAACTTGTCTCCGCTTTAACTGGTTTTCAAAGCCACTGGTTTCCATTCTGAAAACAGCCCTTCGTCACTGGGATAATGTTTCCTGGTTGCTTTCCTTTGGTGTAATTTGTTTGGCTTTCTCTGTCTCCTTTTCAATTACACCTCGTCATGTTCTCTTCCCTCTGGGCAGCGATCAATGAGTGAATGTGTTCTGGAGTGAGTGTGTGTGTCTGTGTGAGAAAGGTCATAGTGGTTAGCTAACATGTTGAACGGATGTTTGCTTTCTATTCAATATTCTGCAGAAAGTGCATTTAATGAAGTCTTTACTAATGCCGTTGTTATGTTTTGCTTTAGTAATGTCTTTTAGCTTGCCACTGAGATGGAGCAATTATCAACCTTTATATTCCTAAAGCTAAGGCTGATCAATTTTGATTTGACTGATTTTTGCTTTAATACACGGCTTCCTACACGTGTGCATTATAATTCAGGATGCAGTGAGCTCCCTCCCGGTTGATTGTAATACGGGGGTCTCTCTCCTGAATGACGGTGCTGTTGGGGGGGGGGAGCTGTGGTCAGGGAGAGAGAGACTGTATTTCAGATGAGAGAGATTCACTCTGACAGCTCTTTGAAACACAGCTTCCTGTTTCCAATTAGCATCCGGTGTCCTCAAAGCCTGAGCGACAAGGCCGACTGCAGGGAGATGTCATCACTCTTGAGATATGAGCGATGTGTGTGTCTGCATCTGCATGTGATTGCATACAGTATGTTCCATCTGTGTGTGTGTGTGTGTGTGTGCATGTGTCTATGAATATCTGTGTGTTAGTGAAAGAATGTGTGTGAAGATGTATGTGTGCATGGAAATGTTCTGCATTTTTATTTAGTTTGACCGATGTTCTTTTTATCTCCTATACATTTTAGACAGTAGATACATTAAAGGGGACCTATCATGCAAAATGCACTTTTTGATGTCTTTTCTACATAAAGATGTGTCCCCGGTGTGTCGGGGAACTCACGCAGCGTCAGAAAATAAAACCCTCTCTCTTTTCCTCCGTACCCAAATCTCTAAAAACGGGG